CTAGACATGTTAATTTTTTTATTTTTATTTTTATTTTATTTTTCCATTTGTACAGGGGTAACACACTGTATTAAATATGTAAGGTCATATCTACGTGGGTTTGATTACAGAAACTAATGAATTATTCTCTTAATAATGAAAAAAAGAATAGATAAGACTACAAGAGCAAGGAGCAATTTAAATATGTTCAGGGACTATTTTCATCTTCAGAATTAAGGATTATTTTAATCTTACGTTATTGCCTTTTCTCTTTTACTTTCCTTTTTAGCTTTATTTTAGGATTTCCTATTTTTAAAGTTCATATAGAAATTTCTTTAACTGAAATACCGAATAGTTTCTCTGGTGTGAAACACTATAATAGTACACAGGATCCTAATGAGATAATTAATAATGTGAAATAGGAAGTAAAGGGCTAAAGGTGTAGGGAGAGTGGGAGGGGTGGGGGAAAGGTAATGAGGGAGAGGAAAAAAATATGAGAAATTGAAAAACTGGAAATAAAGTGTTTGTAAATGGGGAGGGGAGGAGGGGTGAAGGGAGGGCAGGGACAAGGGGAAAAACTGAGAATCAAGACCTATCATGTAAAGGTACAGGATCCCAATAATGAATGTAACTGTATTGTATACCTAGATTGTACCAATAAACTCAATAAAAAAAAGAATAAAAATTTCATCTTCTTTGTTTTTGTATTCCTTATCTAGCACAATGTCTGACACATAGTAAGCACAGAAAAGGTGACTTGAGTTGATTAATTAAATGAATCATAAATATTTCTCCTCATTGTAAAGTTGGAGTTAAGTTTTGAGTAACTAGTACATTTTGGCAAAGTCAACCATGACATACTTAATGTGCTGGGTTGCTAAGAAGAACTTTTTCCGTAAGGTTACAGATTTGCTAAGCAGAGCTGATAATTGACTTTATTGCTCACTACATTGTTGACACAAATACAGGTTATTAGCAATTATGAAAAGCATTTTAATTGTGTTGACTTTTTAAAGTTCAGTCTATTTATTTTGGGCTGTGACGAATTGGTTACTGTGAAGTCAATGAACAGTTTGAAAGAAATCTTAACTTCCAAGTAACCCGATAGAAAGCTGGAAGGTGGAACATGACCTAAGGCTTGCAATTCTACCTGGGTGTTTAACTTCGGCAAGTAACTCATTAACTATTTGTATTGCTGATGTACAGTGCATGGTGATGCAGAAATGCGTTCCTAGCCTGATAATTGCTTTTTGGAAACGGGAACCCTTTCCTGCTTTTAAACTTTGAGATGCTGTACCTTCTCTGATATTGATATTGCCTCAAATTTTTTGCTCGGTGTGTTACTTCTCAGTTTCAAATGTGGTGCAGACAATTGTAAAGGCCTTAGGTAAACTTTGTTTTTTTATTTTTGTCCACTTCTCATAACAATGGAACTTGGAACTTGGCATATACTCAAATATGTGCATGGAAACATTCTTCTAAGTAAAAATAGTGGTGCTGCGCTGAATATTGAAAAGGTTTTACTGTAAAGTGAATTTAATATTGCTTCATTTCTCTTCTTATACATGATGGTGTACCATTTAGGCTCTAAACTACAGAAATATTTGGCATTAGTATTGTTATTGTCTCTGTTTTATAAGCCTGGCCACTGGCATTTTCATATCTGCTGACTTAAATGTCTAATATAAAAATGAAAATTTTTCAAATAAAGATGGAAATATCTTCATAAATACTACTAAGTGAAAACTCAGTTTGGCCGCAATCCAGACATTTATGTCTGTCTTATTTATCTTCTGTTTCCTAGCACCTAGATGAATTTGGCAGAAAAAGAACCAGAGCTAATTATCTTGCAATGTAAGTTTTTTTGTTTTGGTTTTGGGGTTTGTTTTTTTGTTTTTGTTTTTTTTGGTATTTGGGATCAAATTCAAGACCTTGTGCTTAAGAGACAGGCACAGTGCCACTGAGCTAAATCCCCACTGAATTTTTATTTTTATTATTTTTAGTTTTTGTTTTTATGAGACAGGATTTCCTTATGGAATTCAGGCTGGCCTCAAACTCGCAAAAATCCTCCTGCCTTAGCCTCCCATTTTTATCTCACATCTTCTTCAATTTTCTCCAAACCCACATTATTTTGGAGTATTTTTAGTACAAATGACATCCCTATATTCTTTCTTCCTCTTTTCTCAACTTGCTTTCTCTTTCGCTCTCGCCTATCCTGACTAGATTAGTTTTGTTGTTTTTGTGGTGTGCTAGGGATCCAACCCTGGGCCACCTCCACGATGCTAAGCATCTACCAATTATTTATTAAAATGTCCCAGATAATTTTAGCTTTTATCTTCTTCCTACTTCTTCTCATCTCAAAAGTTCTCATCTCAAAACTTCTGCATCTCAAAAGTCCATCACTAGTCTGACAAAAATGACCCCACTTCGAGGGAAAAGAGGAGGGAAAAGCAGGAATGCAATAGAGTAGCATTCTCTCTAGTGGTAGAAGGAAGGTCATCTCTAATCATTTTTGGTCTTGTTTACTGTAGTTACGAACAGGCAAACAGTATCAAATATTCAAAAATATCAAATATTGAAGCTTCTTATCAAATTCTAAATGTTGAAACTTGATAATCAAATTTCAAATATTGAAACTTGTTATTCAAGTACTACTGTCAAGCTGGTTTTGGTTAAAGCATCAAGCCATACGTACTCCCACTAGAAATATTTGAGAATATCCATTATATATATATCTTCATCAATGTTGGGTGTTTTATTTCTCAGACTTATTTTTCATCGGAAACTAAAACAAAGTCTTTTTTTTTTTTAAGAGACAGGCTCTGGTTATGTTGACCAGAGGTACAGTAGCCGTTCTCAGCGTGATTTCACTGCTGCTCACCAGCATGCGAGCCCTCATGGTCTCCCATTCCTGAGAGGGCCCATGTTGATGGTGAACTCGTGTGGACTGTTGCTCAGCATAACACATGGCAGCTTCAAACTCTTAGGCTCAAGGGATCCTCCTGCCTCTGCTTCCCAGTACCTGGAATTACAGACTGCACCACCTTGCCTGGCTCTGATAATTCTTTTAAACCAGACATACGCACGACTACAATGACGTTAACATAACGGGCACAGGGCTGGCAGGGTCTCCCAGACGGAAGGGCCAAGACTTGGCTGGAAAGATGCAAACTTCTTTGGGAACTGTGTCCCAGCACCTGGCCAGCGCCTTGCTGAGTTCAGGAGTGTAATTCCGTTTATCCTGGTCACACTGAGAGGAGATGCTGGGAAGGAGCCAGTTGTTCACGGGGAGTATGTCAAGAGGAAGGAAAACAGAAGTTATGGCTTTAAGAATACTTCAAATTGCTTCCTTGTTGGTGATTTTTAAAAATTTCCACTTCTAAACATAATTGGTATTACCGGAACCCTGCTGTTCTAGATGAGAAAAGATTAATTGCTGCACTTTGCACTTCACTAGGTGCTTCCTGAGACATCCTGTTTTCTGTTAACTACTAATTTGATAATTCAATTAAAAATCCGAATTATAAATATCTAGGATAAAGTCTCAAGAGGTCTTGGATCTGCTTTAAAATACTTTGGCAACAAAAAGACAGAAATGAGGGCAAGATGAAGCCCGAATGGCAAAATAGGGATAATGTTTTCATTTGAGTGATGCACGTATGAAAGTTCACTATACTGTGCTCTGAGCCAGGTATGCTGTCACATGTCTGTGATCCCAGCACTCTGGCAGGCTGAGGCAGGAGGAACTCAATTTTGAGCCAAGCTGAACAACTGAGCAACCCAGTGAGATCTTGTCTCAAAGTTAAAAATAAAAAAGGGCCAGGGATATAGTTCAGTGAAAAGGACCTGCATTCAATCCACCATACTGTACGTGAGCACACACACACACACACACACACACACACACGTACACGTGTGCACACGCACACACGTCTACTTTTGTGAATTTTGAAGTTTTTCATAAGATCAGTAATTATCATAATCAGTGATTTCCTATCAGTAGTTATGTTGAACGCCAATTTCAAGCTCTTAGTTTTTAAAAATCAAGTTTCTTAGTCTATCCATGAAGATATTTCATGTGACATATTGACTTATCCAGAACAAATATAAGTAGACAAGTATCGGTGAGTTCCTGATAGCTGAACATTTTTTAACTACCCCAGGGTGGTGGTGGGGAAACATATGCATATAACAACACTTTAGACATTTGGACTGCTTAAAATGTACAATGCTTAAAACTTACACTTCCTGTCACAAGTGAAAATCTCCCCCCGCTTGTTAGGCAAGTGTCTACCACAGAGCTACCTTCCCAGCCCTCCACCTGCCCTTTTGAATTCTATTTCCAAGCGTTTTCACTCACTGTTTCCCACCTCCTCCTACACTGTGCTTGCTCTTGGACTTGAGTCTTGGATTTAGCCTTAGGCACCCTTCTCCTTCATTTCGTCACTCTTACATTGGTTCACTAAAAAGGAAGATAACCCATGCGAAATCCCTGAGGAAAGAGACTCTTGGATCAAACAGAACCACAGAAGCACTAGAACAAATACCAGGTATGGTTGTAACCAAAGAGAAAAGACAAAGGAACTGACATGTTTTGAGCCCTCTCCTATGTGCCAACGCAGTACTAAGGATACTTACATGTAGTAGGGTAAGACATTTTAAAATATTGTTTGCAAGATATGCTTATTACTTATTTCTTGAAGAGTTACTAGAGTGGCTCTGTTCTTTATATAAATGTAAGTCTGTTCTGTAATGAAGGCATAGCAATTATCTCTCATGAGTCCATTCAGTCTGTCACAGTGACTCTGGAAAAGGAGACATGCTCCTAAATATCCTCTCTGAAGATGTCCTGCTCATTCTTTGCGACATGAAATGAGAACGCTTCTAGGATGGAATGGGCCAGTGGTAAGGGATGGCAGCACGTCTCCCAAGATTAATGTAAAAAAAGAGTTTTCCTGGACTGGTAACTAACTCAGAATGCCCAAATAATACAAATTAAGCTGAATAAAAAAGTGCAAGGTCTGAGTTCGATCTCTGGTACCCCTTCCCAAAAAACTGAATTGATTCTTACATCTCTCTGAACAAGATGACATTTTTACCTCACATTGGATTTTCCTCTTTACCTTTAGCATTGAAATTTAGCTCTAAATGAATCTCTCTATATTAGGCCCCCGTTTCTCAGGAAAGTGACTTCTATATAAAGTAGTGCAGCCTGCACTTCAGCACTGGAGAAGTAAGTCAATAGTTAGTGAGTGCTTAGCATATGCAAGGCCCTGGGTTCAATCCTTAGATCAGCACATGGGAAAAAAAAATCCACAAAATTAAAGAACAGTAATTTGAAATTAGTTAAAGTGGACAAAAAAGTATTCTAATCTCATCAAATTTACTCCAGGACCCCAGACTCCCTCATCCTTAATCCTGACCTTGTTTCCCTTTACCTCCTATCTGAATAGTGCTGACCACTGACTTCCCATCTGACTCATTTTCCTCTTAAGCTTCCTTCAAGAATGCCCCACTGTGGAGATGTTTTTCTGCCTCTGAATTCCTTTCATATTTCCTACTTTTCTCCCATGTTGTATTTGAAGTAAGTATGTAAACAAAAATAGATCTTATTTGAAAACTGACTGCATCCTTATTCACTCTGGACTCTTCAAAGGTGGGTCTGTTGTTTGTTATTGTTGCTAGCAGTAGTAGGGATTGAACCCTACATTCCCAGGCCTTTTTTTTTGTTTGTTTGTTTGGTTTTGTTTTTTGAGACAGGGTCTCACTATGTGGTTGAGACCTGGAACTCACTATGTAGCCCAGGCTGGTCTCGAACTCCTCCTGCCTCAGCCTCCTGAGTGCTGGGATTACAGGCATGTGCCATCACACCTGGCTTAAACCTTTTTTATTTTATTTTGAGACAGGATCTCCCTAAATTGCTCATTTGTCAAGTCCCTGCTGGAACTTGCCTCAGCCTCCCAGAGTATTTGATTACAGGCATGTGCCACCATGCCCAGTTTAACTGGTGTTTTAAATGTAGGCTGAATATTAGGCCAAAATGTTAATCTGATCACAATACATGCGTTCTTGCCTTACTTTTCTTTGGCTCTTTTGGCTTAGTAATAGTCATGGACAACTAACCATGAATCTTAGAACTGTTATCAGTCTACCTAGCAACCAGGTCCATACAAACTCTGAAGTCATACTCTTTTGATTTGATAAACAATGTATTTTCTTATACAGTGAAATCATATGTCAATATTAAAACTGCTATATAACTGTGGCTATATTATCTCAGAAGGAGCTATCATCTTCTCTATAACCAAATGTTTTGCTTTAGTCACAAGAAGCAATCACCTCTAACTTTCAAAAAATGAAGTAAGGAGGGCACAAAGAGTAGCAAGAATAATGTATCAACCACAGACACAAAAGCCAGACTTAACAAATATTAACTTTCCCTAAGAAATAAGACACTGTAGCACTTGACCCTTCCCACATCATTTTCCTTTCTTTTTAGCTAGAAGAATCACTATGCTAAAGTTGACACACATGTATACTCTTCCCATCGGTGTTTTTAATCTGTTTTTACCATATATTTCAAGTGTTTTTCACCATCCATTTCCACTAGAGAGTATACAGTGAATTTTTTCAACCGTTACACAAATGTTTGGTGGTATACAGTATTCTGCAAACCAATTTTTCATTGAAAATTTAAATTTCTTTAAAAATTAAGTCAACTTCTCAATTTTTTATTGCTTCTTTTTGGTTCCTCCCTTATTTTCTATTCATTGTTATGTCTTTTCACTTTCTTTGGCTTTATTTTTCCTTTTGTAAATAGTCTATGTGTGATTGAAAAAACTACACACATTCTCTAATTTTTGTGTATAGGGATAAAAACACTGATCAAGTTTGTTACATTGTCTTATTCAAATGTTCCATGTTTTTTGAATTATTAGTCTGATTCACCAGATTCTAACAGAGTTGTTGGTGACTTCACAATTTTTCCTTGTATTCTTGAAACTATATTGTTGTAAATATACATATTTATCATTTATTATATGGGTTGATTTTTTTATTGGGTTGATTCTTTTTTATTATGCAGTAGTCATTTTTAACTTTATTAATATTTTTCCTTCAAATTTTTTATCTGCTGTTAATTTATGTTTTTGTTTTCCTTTAGTTGTTTGTTTGTTTTTTGGTGGTGATGCCAGGAATCTATCCTAGAGTCTCACACGTGCTAGGCAAGTGATCGATTACTGGGCTACATACCCATTCCTTTTTCAAAATTTTATTTTGAGCTGGACATGGTGTCATATCCCAGCACTTGGGAGTCTGAGGCAGGAGAATCCTCACAAAGTCAAGGTCACACATAGTAAGTTCAATAGTAGCCTAAATTACATAGCAAGATCCTGTCTCAAAAGAATCAAAAATAAAAACTTATTTTGACACAAGGTCTCACTAAATTGTCCAAGCTACTCTCGAACTTCTGTTGTTTCTGCCTCAGCCTCCCTGGGCTTTTAGTTATTTGCTTATTTATTCTTTTTTAATCTCAGCGATTCCCAGTCTTTCTTTATATTTCCTGACACTGACACTTGTGAAGACTGCTGCACAGCTAGCTATTCTATAGAATGCTCTTAGTATGGGTTTGTTGTAGTTTTCCCCAGACTACATTCAGGTTATATTTCTTTTTTTTTTTTTTTTTTTTC